ACAGGCTTTCGTACAAAGCTGGACTACAAATAGCTAAAGAAAAAGTTGTAGAGAAAAATTAGTTGATTAAAATCACATTTCCTGTTATAGCTTCAATGTCGCTTGGTATTTTTCCAAGAGATATATAGGTATATTCTAGCCGTCTTGCTACACCAGGTATCCACATAACCTTCAAGTTACCCTTCCATTAAGCCCTTATCAGATTTCACGGTGGATTCGCGTGGAACCCAGTAGTCGCATTATCTCCGGGAATTACTAATCATTCACGCCAGCTGTTATGCAGGAGGGCTAATTAAAAATTCCTAATCGACAACATCAGCTGGACATAAAAAACGTATATACCGTTATAGTTGAAATTATTCTATTTCAAATTTTTACAACCCTCCAGTTCGACAAACTGATTTTACTCGTCATGAATTTTATGATTTTATGACGGCCCTATTTGAGTTTTTATTGCTCATAAATTTTGGTCGTTGACTTTGATACCCAGGACAGCGTCCCAAAGGTCATATAATTTTTGGTAATGAGCTTATTGTTTAAAAAGCCATATAACCGCTTGTGAGGGAACAAATTGAAACCATTCACAGTAAACATTAGATCATGCATATTTTTAAAAATGATAAAAAAAAAATCGGTAATTATTATTCATGAAGTAGATAACGATACATAGTAATTAGAATTTATATGTGTGTTAATTTTTTTTTAAATTGAGGCTTTTTCATGAACATATATGACTTTTCCCTCAGTGACAAACAAACAACGGGAATATCTTCAGTCCGCCATTATTGTAATTTATTAGGGTATATCTTTTTGGAAGGTTCTTCTGCGAACTGCTCTTATTAAACACCTTTTACGTTGAAACATCTACCTGAGTCTGTGTTTTTTGATAATTGGCCATCGACTTTTCGGTTAAAAAATTATAAAACTGTCCCAGTAGGTAGATGTGCTTTTAACAAAAGTTGCAGAGAGCAATTTTGTCACTGGGCCAACAGAGACTAATAAATTCTTCAAACAGAAACAGTTTTAATTAAAATTTACCCCCACGATTACAGCAATGACGTGAAAGATAGTGATTTCCCAAAGGATTTGCTTTGCGCTGTAAAGAACCTTGTGCCTCATATTTCAAGTTAGAGCATCTAAAAATCAAAAAATTATTTTTCTCTAGAGGGGACTTTGACGAGCCATGTAACTTAAACTTTAAATGATTATAATTTAGCTTAATTAACCAAATGTGTCTTGGCTTCTCTAATAGGGTAATGGTTTTTTTTAAAAATAAATTGAATTTAAAAAGACATGATGAGCTAATTTCACAGTTATAAAAGTAACAGGTTCACATATGAATGTGCCCCAGTAAATATATTTATTATCAATCGCATACACACATGCCAACACTATTAATAAATTATAGCAATTCGTGCAAGAAATATTTTTGAATTGCATTTTCTCGGGCGCAAGTGACCGTTAAACCCGCTAAACTAGATTTCTTAACAAGAATTTCCAATTTAATTTCATATATAATATTTATGGGATGCTTATTATTTAGTGGTTGCTGATTTTCGATTGCTGGCACTCCCTGAAATAATTAATCTGAAATTAAATTCATCAAACTCCGCCACTGATAAATCAGTCGCGATTCCCTATATATTCTACAAGAATAAACCGTGACTTCATTGTCTCGGAATTTGACATCAATTTTCGTTTTATGAAATTAATAAAACTTCCAACGACACAATAATATAGCCAAGCATAATAATATGCGTATCGTTGTTGTGTGTGGATGTCGTGATGACACCCACCGCTTCTCCGTTTCGTGACAAACATGAATATTGTATCAATTTATTGGGTTTGTTGGTGATATTTTGCACATTTATGCAAATATGATGAAGTGAAGCACCTATTTAATTGAAGATTTTAAAGTTTTTTTTTTTTAACAAGGAAACAGTAAGAGACTTTTTTAAAATCTAAACATCATAAGTTCATACTTGAAAGAAGATTTTTCATGGCGTGACAAGTCTATTTCATTCTAAACCTAAAGTGGAACTTTAAGACTTTTTTGGAAATTTCATCCTCTAGCTGCTAGCTAGTGTACCCTTCACTTAAGCTTGTTCAAAAATGTCCCTTCCAGTCACTTTCACCACTTGTTACATTTCCTCAAAAGGAGAAGTGAAGCCTAACTTTCGATTCAATCATCGTCATCATGATAGCTTTGAAAGTTTATCCAATCATGTTTGATAGTGGTCTTATTCTTGACAATAATAGAGAGTCGTTTTTCAGGAACAATATTCAACTGGATTCTTCTCTTCTTCTTTGTCAACCTCTATCCATCAACTCCTAATTGTTTCCACCTTTCTCTATTCTTCGCCAATCCCATCCACTGTTTGCCTGCCACTGTCCTTATGCCGTCCACCCATCTTTTTTGAGGTCTTTCCTTGCTTGTTGTTGTATCCATTCCAGGTTTCTTCGAATCCATATGCCGTCATCATAGTGGTCTTATTCTTGACAATAATAGAGAACCGTTTTTCAGGAACAATATTTGACTGGATTCTTCTCTTCTTCTTTGTCAACCTCTATCCATCAACTCCTAATTGTTTCCATCTTTCTCTATTTTTCGCCAATCCCATCCACTGTTTGCTTGCCACTGTCCTTATGCCGCCCACCCATCTTTTTTGAGGTCTTTCCTTGCTTGTTGTTGTATCCATTCCAGGTTTCTTCGAATCCATATGCCGTCATCATAGTGGTCTTATTCTTGACAATAATAGAGAACCGTTTTTCAGGAACAATATTTGACTGGATTCTTCATTTCTTCTTTGTCAATTGTTCATAGAGTCTTTTTTTTTTGAGGTTATGTCTTCACGTTTTCTTGCTCCAAGACCTCCTAGATCAGTTGGTTCAAGTCCATTTTTTTGTTACGACTTTATACACTATAAAGCCTTAAAACCTCGTAAACAGTAAATTCCCAAATATGAATTTTTTGAGAATCAAAAATTGTCGTCCGTTCTTGGACTCGAATAAAATCCAGAGAATTCTATACGAACTTGCGATAAACTCTACGACCCTCTTGAGTTTTTACGTCCTTCGTTTATGTTATTTTGCACAATCTGCAATAATGAAAAGTCGAGCTATAATAATAAAAATAAACATCTTTCACAAATCTAGGATAATTTCCATCTGCCAAATGTCATATCTCTGACCTAAATTTTATAACGCCGCCTATTCAATAGCTCATAACGCGATTATCTTTTCAGATGAATTCAACGACCTTTATGGTGAAAGGGCCCGGTCCGGAAAGGGCAAAGCAAAATGGAATCGACGGCCCTCGTTCACATCCCTACGACCAGAGGATTAGATGGGCCATATTTGAACGTGAAATTTTGATAGGGATTCACCCAAAAATAAATGGTATGTAAAGGATCTGCTTTTATTTTTATTTTTTGTGATGTTTTTGTTTATTTTTGACTATACGTGTAAATATAATATTCTTTGGCCGTTGCAATTTTAATTTACCATATTTGCCGCTACTTGACCACCGAAACAGGTTTTGTCGTTGCCCATCAGCCTCTTCGATCTGAGATGGAATTTTCGATGGTTCAGGCTTATTATAGCTTTTTTGTGTGTGATGAAAAATAATAATATTTAAATTACTTTTTAGATCAGAGGTGATGTCTTCAAATTAACACCATATTAACGAACAATTTGTGGAAATAAGGAAGATGCAGGATCTAATACAACAAAGGAGGCTAATGATTGATTGGATACAGTTGTCGACGGAATAATCAAATGTAAATTCAATAAGGTAAATGCTACAATATTACCTATTCATACTTCTAGAAAATTGTTTTTGTTTGACTGCCCTCGAGTCAATTTCGAGCCTGGAAAATGCTTATTGAATAATCGACTAGGTACTTAACTGTTATTTAACGATAGATTTTCTTATGGAGATTTACATGGGAAACTTGCGCCAGAACTCCCCTAGCACATTTACTCAAATAGTTTAACGGCTGTGGTAACGTACAAAATTGGATTTCAGACTACCTACTTAAAAGCAATAAGGGACTAATTCTTGAAAAATATGTGTTCATGCATTCCTTGGGTATCCCTGCTACTGATTCTTAGCGCTTGTTCGTTGTTTGACATTCACATTGTTCAATGGGGTCTTCGGGCGTTTGTGGATATGACAACCAGACATCAATCTGCAGTACAAAAAATAAAATGGGAAATGTTTGGGAAAAGATTCTTTATCAATTATTTAAAGTTTAGATGGAAAGCTAACAAGAAGAATTATTCCTATGTCTGAAAAAGGAGGTATTTCACCCTTTATCCCATTATTTGCTGGTAAATCTGCACTAGGAGCGCTAGGTGGGGGTGCTGCTGGTATAGCAAAAGCAGTAAATTACGCTAAAGCGGCAAATAAAAAGTTGTAAGAACAAATACAATAAAAAAAAAAAACCTTTTAGCGTTGGGTAAAAAGAGGCGAGGTAATTTGTAATGTTGTACAGACCGGACTAACCTACTGGGCACATAGGTAGTAACAAGACAAATTAGTTTGTACTCAGTCTCAGCGAATCGAGGCGATTATAGCGGAGCTGTCAGTTAACTGGTCCCATTGAAGCCTATGTGTCTAGTTGCTTAATTCTGTCTGTATATTTGTATCTTCTTCAGGTTGATATTATAATAAAGAATTTCCATTGTAAAAAAAAAAAAAAAAAAAAAAAATTCTTTCAACAAATTCTTTCATATAATTTTCATCCGAAGTTGAAGTCCTCATCCCAAAAGATACTCTTATATTATCCTCCCCGGGCCTGCCATAGCCGGCATAAAACCCGTTCCTTCGTCAGTATATGCTCCTTTTCCTAAAACGAAAATCTCTTTTAGGAAATCACAACCCCTTGAAATAGCGCCTGCAGACCCCTCGCTCCCTGGACGGAAGGAAAATCGCGAGTCGACATGGAGCAGCTAACCCCGCGCATCGAAAATCAGGGCGTGGGAAAATCGATGGAGGCTCAAAACTCTATGTGGAGGCAGGAGGGAGGGTGGCTGGATTGGAGCAAGGGCGCCCCAGTCTCGCTGCTGCCCCTTCTTGTCATCGGAATGCGGTGCCACTGTGAAAAAGTGAGATGTCGACAACTGAGATCCTGTTTCGTTCCTGACGGAAGGCTCTTATTGAGATTGGCAGTCAGGTAAGAGGCATTTTTTATCCGCTAATACTATTGTATTGAGAAGATCTTTTTTTAAACTTTTTTGTGTTTGTAGGTTTAGCTTTTATATGATTTGTAGATAGCGCATTTTATTCCTTAAGCTCATTAATAGAATTTTAATAATTTTTATAATTATAATTTATTTTTGTGTGATAATGTCATTAGCAAGTTGCTCATTTTTCTAGTTGTTTTTCCGGTAAAAGTTTTTTTGGATTTTGTGCGCATAAGTGGGTTAATTAAACAAAATATATGTCACTATGATCTCTGTGTGTAAAAATTATGAGTTACAATTACGACAGGTGGTTAAATGACATAGTCAAAATACACTGACTCTAAATTGAGTCCTTTTAAAAATACATTCACATTCGGCCTTTGGCATGTCCCAAGGTTATTCATTGATCGCGCGCGGCTTTACAAATTTCCCAAACCTGAAGATAATTTACCGGATTGACTTTTGATATAGGTATTTTATGTTTTTCTTTCCTTTCGGGAAATGAACTCCATTACTTTTGTGCCGACACCATCATTTTTTTTTTTAATTCTTGCTTGTCAAACATCGTTTCAGTTGCTCTACCTACCCATCTTCTTCGTCTCAGACAATGGACATCTACTTCAGAATCTTTGCCTCATCTCCTAGGATTTTGCTTGTTTTCAAAAACCAGTTCTTGCCGGCATTCTGCCCTATGCAGGTTGAGTTTGCCCCGACTTTTGTTTGCTTCAAGCGGGCGTCCGGCGTCATCTCATCTCTCCAATGCTTGTCAACCTATGTATCTTACAATGAGATTTTGACTTATAGTTTCCTCATGACTTGTTGAGTTCGTTTGCGCTTTGCTTGGTATGAAAGTGACATGTTTCCAAAACCAACAGGGATGACGCATGGGCACTTTTCGTTGAAAGTTTGTAGGTCTGTTCTAACAGAAGTCTCTGACAGTTTGCAAACTTTCAGAAACAATCGCTCAGCTAAGTTAGGCACTGATTTATCTTGGAACGTCATTGAACATATAGGCGATGCTTTCTGTCTGTTTGCAAAATGTCAGACTCTTGTGGGAACAGACCTGTGAGTGTATGGTCTCATTGCTTGAGATATTTTGTAGTTTTCCAAAGGCGCACCATCTCAGCCGTATGCTTTTTTCTCAAGGCCTTATAAGTTTGATTTTATTTAAGTTCCTTGAGTCCCACATGTCTCCTGAGGCCATCAAATGTTTGTTCCAATTCTTCGAGATCGCCAGATATATGATGACGATATCACCAGCACAAAAGAGATGCTAAGAGCACTTTTACTTTACTTTGTTTACTTAATTTTTTTGAATACATCTTTTAGAAGAGTGATGCTTGTTGTCGCGCATATCTTATAACTCTTATGAAATTTGTCTACATGTTTTTATGATCATTACGTACTTAGAGTTTATTCTGGAGTTGTTTAACCGATATGTCGAAATAATCCATAGGTTTTGTCTAAATCGCAATGAATATAAAGTGTATGGGAATATTATATCCTCGTCTTTTCAATGGGACTGTGAGTAATGTTTGAATATTTTGCTGAATCCTCATTGGGAATCAGTTTGTTCCACCGATTGATACAAGTCCAATTTGGTTCATCCGGAGGTTCACTAACCTATGGGAGTATGATGTATGTAGATGAATTAGTAAGCCGATTGCTATATTTCCATATTTGATTCGTCTCCTATTTCAACTTTCGAATTACCTACTCAGTTTTATTGATACTTCATGTAAGTACATATTATTCATCAGTGTTGATATCGTTTTCTGGAGATATCCATCAAGTTTCAACATTAGTGCTGTGATTGCATGCTATTTCATCTCTGTTGCAGAGGTAAAGTTCGAACCAACTAAGAAGAATACACACGCATTATCGTTTGTCTCACTCCAAGTGGGAGGGCCGTATTGAGAAGGAAATTTGCCTTCTTCGACAGTGATGACGTCAGTAGCTTCTTCTTGTACGGTTTTTACTATAAATGGGACCGTCCAAATCTAAATTTTATTCAAAATAATAACACAAAAATCATCAGAAAACTAGCATTAGGTACTACAAAACCTCGACTCACTTGAGAAAGGCTCGATTCTTTACAAACCTGTATTTCTTGAACTGATCCACTTCCACTGGTCTTTTGTCCAATTCTCCCATAAGTATTCGTTGTTATTCATCCACACATATTCATGATTCCTGGTATCATTGTGCCTCTCACCCATTTTCTTGGACTGTGGATGAATTCAAGTCATTCTGGTTTTCCTTATTCCCAGTAGCCTTATCTTTTTCCCATACTATAACCCCTTTTGTTAATGAATTAACAAGAGGCCCATAATATGCGCGGTTTGCTCAGCGAAAAATTATCAGGTCATACTTGCCCTATAAGTTCATTAACAGTCACTGACCATATCATCAATTTGAAAGGATAATATAAAGATTCAAGTTTCCAGAATACTAATTAAAAAAATTTAATGATTGAAAAATCCTATTAATAAATATGGTCAGCTTCTGCAAAAGAATAAATTCAAAAAAATCAATGTTTACCTGTAAAAAAAAAACAAAAGTTGGGTTATATAACGGTTAGATGGTCTGGAGACATAAGGGAAATCCACTAATGTATAAGTTATATGAGCTCGGGTTAAAAATTGATCAACTTTCGACGGTAGGCTATTACTCAACCATTTTAAATTTGGAATATGTTGTCTGACATGGAGACATAAGACAAATCCATAATAAATTCGATAAATCGAAAGCTAATTTTTCACCATCGTGTCAAGAATCAGAGATTTTAAATGTTGCATGAAAATCATATAAAAGAAATTATCTTAATTTTGTTGTCTGTTGACTATAAAAATGATTTTATAGAAGAAAAGGTTTTAAAAGTTATAAGTGAAACTTAATACAAGCCTCCATTCCAACATAAGGTAGAGCACGGAAGTCATCCATCCTCGGTCATTTGACAAAGGAAACTCCACATGGAACATGCAGATTCTAGCCTAAAATCCAGGTAGATAAGGGACTAGAATTGACGTCACATGTGGGGCACACGTATCGACTTGTGAGGGTCTTGATTCTTGTAGGGTAGGAATCCCTTCAAAAGCTCTATGCCACACTCCACGGAAATGGTGTGAATTTGAAAATGTGGCCTTTTTGGAATGGACTTGTTGAGAGAAACAGCTCTCCGAAAGACCCTAAGTAATAAGGCATTACTTGAAAAGCTATTACTTAAAAAGATATTAAAAAACGAGGGGCCTTGATATTCAAACTTAAATTAAACGGTAATCACGAGACTTTTTAATGAAATTTTTCGGTAATCAATGTATTATTGCTCTACGCAACTTTATTTCGTTACGATAATGCCTGAAGGCCGATAAGGTACTTTTTTTTCTACGGAACCGTTGTCTCGAGAAGATGGCCGTTCGACTTTGCAGCTCGACGACACAATTCAAAAGGGAAGAGAATTGGAATTGACAAGATGAGCATACAGTGCTTCCTCTCAACGAAAAATGTTACGTCAAAATTTAAATGAAAATCGTGCCCTCTACTGTAATAATTCAATAATTGCTAACATTATGAGTAGCAGGAACCCGCTATTTTAAATGTTCGTCACCAGACTGCCAACATTAGACAGGGTTATATAACATTAAATTTAAAAAAAAAAAGGGACAAGTAACGTTACACGTTACAATACTTTGGACTCAAAATTGTTCCCCTGAAGTTCCATCACTACCCATGTCTGGCTTCGAGGTTGTCCAGCAACTGTAATCGCTTCTTGATTGTGAATAGGAATTTCTTTTGGCAATTTCAAAATTTCAAAAAAAAAATCGTCTTAACTATGAGGATTGTAGGAAACTGACTTGCTTTATCTTTCGCAATTCTCTTCCAGGAGGAACCAGGGCTGGGAAGACAGCAAATGCTATAGCGATAGGGATAACGATCTCTATCCATTACAGAGTTCCAGCCCAGACAACCTACTGTTTCATTATTTGTCCTCGAGATTGCGCCTTGTTAAAATAAAAATAGTAAACAATAAATGGGTCGATGTCAATTCGTCGTAATTCAATTCGTCTTACAATTCGTCGTAAAATCAATGCATTGTTGAGTCAATTCGTCGTAAAGTCAATTCGTCGTATTCGTCAGTTCTTCGTAACGTTAATTCGTCGTATACGTCTATTCGTCGTATTATTAATTTGTCGTATAGATAATTCGTCGTATTCGTCAATTCTTTGTATTTCAGGTATAATGTTAAATTGTATAAATTTACCCTATTTCGTTTAATCAGACGTAACCAAACTTACCGATTATATCCCGGTTAGTTTGGGTTAGTTTGGAATATTAATCAGACATTACCTACATTGCAAACTAACTCATACTAACCGGTTTATTATCGGTAACATTCGTCGTATTGTTAATTCGTCGTATTTCAGGTATAATGTTAAAATGTATAAATTTGCACTTTTTCTGTTTAATCAGATATTACCAAACTTACCTGTTCCATAATGTGTGCTTGAGCCAAAACCATAGGTCAAACTTCAGATTATTTAACTCAATTCTTATTTTGCAAACTTGTGGTTAACCTAAAACTATTGGTTTGATAACCAGTGCAGGTATCCACCAATTGTGAAACTGGGCCTTATAGTCTAATGCATGACCAGCAAAATTCCAAATAAACATAATGTGACGCACTCGCTTAATTTTTCGATAATTCCTTCACATAATTGTATAATTCAGGCCTACTTACTTTGATGTCTTGATGAAGTTCTGAATCACCTCGTGTGTGTGTAAACTTCGTATGTATTTTTTGTATGTAAATAGTGTTTTTCAATTCAATATAAAAAAGGTACACGCAATGGCATGCTCGCTAATGACCTCGCTCCTATAGGCCTTTTAAAATATGCTTGTAGTAATTATTTTCTTCGCCGATAAGCTGTAAAGTTATGCCCTTAAACTGGCACTGACTTTATTTTCAAAATGCCATTCAGCACGTATTTCACAAAGTTAAACGTTATAATCAAACTCGGGTTGTTTATTGAAATTATTTTTATCTTAGGTAGGTAATTCCGTATAATATTCTCTCGCTGGTGTATATAACAGTCAGGCGCGCTAATTACATTTAGCTCAATTAATTTGGGCCAAGTTTGGAGGGTCGATGTTTCCACAGTAGAGATAATGCACACACATTGTATAGTCAGTAATTTTCCTCTTATTTGATTACTGCGCCGGGTTAATTGGACGCGTAGCCTTAGTAATGTGTAAATTTGATAAAGTCCGAGTTTTGGGCGTTGAGAGCTATATACATGATATTTTACTTAGAACTTTTGGGTTAATGTTATAATTTCATTTTTCAACACAGTAATTGATAATATTTGTTTTTTAGAGCCTCAAGAAGATATTCGTGAACTTGGACTGGGAAGCAACTATAATGTGTTGAAAAAAATGGAAGGATATTGCCAGAGGATAACCAGATACGCCACATCATTCACAACTAGATAAAGAAAGCCAATAGCAACATTCAGCAACAATTATGTAACAAAATTTGACAAAATTTAAAAGTAAGCATTGATTTAACAACAAATCTTTGACTTGACAGTTCATCATCAATATATTTTTTTTCAGGTATTTTAAACGATACGTCAGATATTGGACCTTTTTTGAAAGATTATCAAGGATAGCCACTATTGTCTCAAGCCATAATGATGGATTAAAGAAATTTCAAATTATCGGACGTTGGATTACAGATGATACCATCTATTCAAGAATTAGGTATGGTAGCAGAAAAAATACGTACATACCTATTTCTTTCTCAGCTTACATTTGCTAACATACGGGGTGTATCAAGTTTGACTGAAAATGCGTAAAAGATTTTGGTTTTAATCAGACTAGATGATAGTTCTTCCTTATTTCTATTATCAGCAACCCTTCTTATTTCACTCATTACCTTCAGAAGTTAAACCTTAATTTTTGCCTTGATTCTACCAAACGTTTCGTTTTTAAGAACTTTAATTTCTTATTCATTTTCGGCAATTTCTTCTTCTTCCAGATCCTATTAACCTCTTCTTTGAGAAATGCTCTCTTTTTCTTTCACTGCTTACTCAATATGATCGTCTACTTCTTTTCCTTCTGGACCACAGTAAAAGTTCAATAGGTGCAGTAGTGAAAAATGATTGAAGAACCTATAGACAAGGGAGAGATAGCTAGATTGTAGGATATACATAATGCAAAATATTTTGTGAAATTTAATGTAGTTAACTGTTGTCCTAAAGCAATGGAAATTGATTTTCTCTTTCTTACGTTCCTCTGAAAGTTATCTAAAATCTCAAGGACCTTTTTCTTGAAAACAGTTGAATTTTTTCCCAATGGTTTATTTCTGTTCAAAATGATCCATATTTCTTGCGTTCAAATATTTGACCTGATTCACCCTGTATATCTACTAAAAGCCTTATAGGTAATGGTCCAGTACTGAGAATAGAGCAAACAATAGGGAACTTTACCATTTCTGAATTTTATAGTTCTATTATTTTAAATTTGTATGAACCAAAATAAAAATATCCTTGCTGTCTAAGACCGTGTTCACAAAAACTCATTAAATCAATGGTGAATCAGTTTTCACTGGATCGGGATTTGTTTGTGTGAATATATAGGTACCTTTAGTCTCAATTAAATTTGGTCTTCGTCATTTTATTATTGTATCTGATCCATTTTTTTTTACTTTTTAGGAGAAATTCGTCAGCAAACAAGGATTCAACGTAGGATGAAGATTGGCAGTCTAGGCCTGCCACGTTAATGCTCTACATCTACCCTGTAGATCCGAATTTGTTTGATAATAGGCGACAAATTCGGTTCTAGAGAGGTTTGTGTGGTGCATACAAAGCAACGAGATTCTTTTTTAGCTTTAATCATTGTGATTTCATAACGATAAGAAACAGTTTTGATAGAATAATGTAAAAAGTAGAAGAAATTGTATAATACGTACACCTATGTTCAATAGTTTAGGACATAATATTTAAGGAAAGATTTTTGTTTTGTCATAGTTAAGTCTCTATGAGCAATTACTAAATACTTTATTACTGTTATTGAGACCTTTACTATCGCTACTAAGTGAAAGTTTCCAGAATGTTTGCTACAAAAATCAAGCGAGCAAATGCTAAAGTATAATATTTTTGCATGATGTCTGTTCTCTCTAAACAATGAATTGCTGTAGATAACTAGCTTGGAGTGAACTCGAACTCTAGTGAGTGAATGTTAGATTTTGGTTCTTTGTAGATTATGAGAAATCTGCTTTCTATTGATTCGTGATTGTTCAGGCTCCGTGTCTTATTATACAAAGCGGACCAACCTACTATTCAAATAGGGAGTAAGAATAAGCTTATTCCCGGTCTCGAGGCGATGGTGCCAAAGCCGAACTACCGAAGATGCATGAATTTTATTAACATCCAACTCGACATGCAGTAGCATGAGTAATATGGGTATCCGTCAACTGGTCCCATTGGAGCCTATGTGTCTAGTAGCATGATCCTATGTGTATGTAAAGATTTAATGATGAATCAAACGTTCATTAGACAAGCATTAAGTTTGATATTTATCTAATTAGACTATAATAAGTAGTAGATTTTAGTGATAGTGCAGACTTTTTTGGAATTAATTAGGCTTTCTTTATTTGTTATGCGAAGAGGAAGGTTCTGATCCAACGTTCTTCCAGTCCTACTATTGTTTCACTCTTCTATACAAAAGATTTGCGGAAATAAAATAGGATGAACATTATAAAGATAGTTAAGTGATTGTAGTTTAGTCGCCACCACAGATATTTGAGATTCCTACAAAAAATTATTTTTTCTCCAAACGTCAAAAAAACGTCACTTTGTTAACGCCTGTCAAGGTGTCAGAAACCTAATTTCTATGCTGCTAGGCAAATCCAGCAGGTTAGCACCTGTCGAGGTGGTAGAGATTTAATTTCTATGCTGCTAGGCAACCGCACCGGCACTAGAAGTACTTTTGGTGCCGCTGGAGCGGCAGCAAAAGTACTCACTACGTTCGGCTCGCAAACCTACTGCTTCAGCACAAAAAAGTAAAGCTTCTACTCCTAATACCACAATATACTATTTTCTCCGAATGACAGTAAAAGCGGCCTTTTAATGACACTTGACAGGATCAAAAGTTGTATTTTTACTGCCTAGGCAGTAAAAGTGGACTTTTACTGCCTAGGCATTAAAAGTGACAGTGTCACAACGTTCCAGGTAATAATTTCACTCAATTTGGTATTTGAAATTGATGGTGACAATGACAATTGTCAAAATAATTTAATTATTTGGATAATAATAATGAATGAAATAAATATAAAAAGATGTCCATGTGTGAATTTGAACATTTGGAGAAAAAATTATATGTTTTACATGGCAGAAAAGCAGATTTAATGCCTCGGCTGGTTTTCTAGCCTCGGCTATGCCTCGGCTATGAAACACCAGCCGCGGCATTAAATCTTGTACTTTTCTGCCTAGTGAAACAAATAACTATATTTGTCGGCGATGCTCGGATAAACAAAAATCGCAGCAAAAACTATACAGATAAGGGTTGAGAATAAATTTAGTCCAAGAGCATCTCTCAAATACATTTCGTGTATAGTATTATTGTATTGTTCTGGATTTGATCAAGTACTTAATTTCTTGGGTTTCTAACACGCGCTCCCTGACTAAATGCAGGCCTGCTGATAATATAAACATACTTTTTTGCACGAATCTCGAATATCTCTGGCGGATCAGCTATACATAATTTATCAGGAATATTATTTGTTGAACGTTAAATTGGCTATTGATTTAGATATTTTGTAAAATAAAGTCCAAATAAGCCAAAAACCGACTTTTCATTATTATACTTATGTAAAGTTTACCCAAGTCAACATTGGTAAACACTCAGGACTCTAATTTCTCTAAGATAATCTTGTACTTCTAATAAAATACTTGTCACTACAAAACCAACGTAGATTTGTGTTTTATTTGTATTTGAAGGAATAAGGACAATGCACTTCCGGTCTTGAATATTTCTCTAAACTACTCAAGCAATAATAATTTGCAGCACAGGGAAACATTATAGTTCTTATTGGTTCTGGATAAGTCAGGCAATAGTAGAATATTTTCAACAGTTTATCAAGACTAGCTTTCACCGAACTTCATAACATCAGTCGTAATATCAATAATCATGAATAAAGTTGCTCCACCTGAACTAAGATCAGAACTCGAATCATAACTATTCAGAGAAGAACTACAAAAAACTACTCCAGTGTCAATAAATTTCTGAATGGCAAGAGTCTCAATAACCTCCAAGAGCCCCCACAACATCAGCAAGCAGATTGCGGAATTCCAATTTTCAGAGCATCAGAAACAGAAAGGTCATTCCAGGGAGGATGGTGTGAAGAAATCAAAAAAAAAGTTTACCGGGAAGTGAGTCTAGGTGGAGAAGATAATGAAGATAGGAGTAGGCAAAAGATGAGGAGAATGTTGGAACGGGGAAATTTCAATTGATTGTAAAATTATAGAAAGGATAGTGTCACCATCTGATGAAGAAAATCTCGGCTGCCCCAAGTCGCCATTTTGTCTAGATATCTATAGATTTCTGCAGACGAATGGTGGATGGCGTCAACCTTATAAACATATGTTTAAAGTTGATTTTCACTCAATTTTTTCGTTTATCCGGCTTCTAGTCGGTACTCCTGACGTTCCGCTTTAATACAGCGGCAAAAATCATCGTTGTTGAAGAGCTAATAGAAGAAGAAACTAAAGTTGAAAAACTAATGTAGCAAAACTAGTGATTATGGAAGTCTGCGTGAACGAGAGAAAAAGTAACAGTAGCTAGATCTTTGAAGTAGTTAAAATGAAAAACAACTGGAAATCCCAAAGAAACATTTAGACTAAGGAGTTTCTAAATTCGTAAAAAACAACCTAATGAAAAACCTGCCGAAAAGGAAAACTATCGTTGAGATGCAAATACCAAAAACATAAAAACACCAGTTTGACCACTTCAAAAATACTTCTCAAGACACCAATTTCTGAGGATGAAAGTGAAGGAGATAGAGTAATATAAACATCCACCTGAGCGACAAAGCAAGAAGATACCTGAAGTTGAAGAAGTTGCGTGACCAAGGAATTCAACGCGCTGTTGGAAGAGTGCACATTTCTTGTCATTTAATCGGATTTTTGTCTTACGGAAACGAGTAAACGCTTCTTGGAAGTTATCCTCATTTTTAACACGTCATCCAGGTAGACAAGTCATTTCCACCTCTTCGTAATACGATTTCCATCAGCCTTTGAAAAGTAGCAGGGGCGTTACAAATTCCAGAAAGCATTACCTTAAATTGGTAAAGACCATTTTCAGTGAAGGCCGGTGTCTTTCCTTTGTTTTTTTTTTTTCCGTCAATGCCCAGTATCCGCTTTTTAAATCCAAAGTAGGAAACCAATTTGAGTCTGCTAATTTCGTAAGGGTATTGTC